ACTATTTACGTCTCCCGGTGCTGTGCCGGTTTTGCCGTAAAACTTCGGCGGGCCATAACTTCTTGGTTATAGCTCGGATTTCGGCATTCTTTATATGTACGGAAACCTTGAGACGTATTCTACAACTTTATGTAGAGATATCGGGATTATCTCACACTTTAATTTTGACGCTCATTTTTATTCTTTATTAATTATACATTTATAATTAAATAATAAACACATAAACACACATAATTCACATAATACTCAAATATTTTATATTTATTACTTCAAAAAGAGTTACAATAGTTGACCTAGACTATTACATTGACAAAAATGCTTAGCCCTGAAAACCCGGGCGTTACATCAATCCACTTAAAATAGCTCAATGTTTCAATCCACTTAAGCTTTAATCATTACTCAATAGCCTGATCTATTTAAAATTAAAAAGAAAAAACAAAAAGGCTTGAAATTTGAAACATTGCTTGGCCTAATGTGTGATCGAACTCTCTGAAGCATCATACAGTGTTGCCCTGCTAATTGCTCCCACCGGTCACAGTTCCTCCCTACGTCGTCTGTCGTTCGAGCATTGTCACCAACCCACCGTCGCCCCTCCGCCAGGCACCAACCCGCCACTATAATTCTTTACTTTTTTTTTCCGGTTTAACTTACATAAGGAAACACGTGGTTTTTGGTTCTAGATTCGCCACTGGGTAGGTGGGGGTGAAAATGCTCCTACATTTTATTAAAGACATTATGTACGTGTAATCCTATATTACTAGTCCGTAAGGGTAGATGTGTCACCAATTTGCATTTTTTTAACAGAATTTAGAGGTAATCATGTAATATAAAGTCAAAATTTTAATGTTAATACATTTATACATGTTGAATTGGTCTAAATCAAAGACTAATGCAAGATGTTCATCATGTACCGATCTATGGTATCTTCCATAAAATTCATGCTCTAACATTAACAACAAGGATACTCATAAAGTGGTGAGTCTAGAATAAAAAACCCCATAGTTCACTGATTTTCCTATAGAAAATGTTCTATACAAATTCAAAGATTCTATGGGTAAGGTTGGTCCTAAATTATTTTTAAAGTATTTCACTAAAGTTTTTCTATAAAAAAAATTTAGATAAGTTGAAAAAATTAGATGAGTCCTATGACCCACCTTGCTTATACCTTGCCTTACCCCTACTCATAATGCATCTTCATTAGATGATTAATGAAGTGAGTTATTGAAGACTTGTATAATGTCAATAACTTTCACCGACTCAAAACCCAAGACAAACAGAAAAACACGATGTCTAAACTATGTTGCTGATGAACGTGTTGGAGTTTGACTTTTGAGAGCATTGTGGGTATTTTGAGGTTTGATGGATTAGTCATGATGGTTGTAGGCCTTAAGTTGGGATTAGAGATTCGGAGTTCGGTCTTATCAGTTCAGCTGCTTGTGAGGTGAGTCTTCCTTACTATACTTTCGGGTCGAATGCACCAAGGTCGTCCCAATGGTTTAATAACCTGATATTGTTGATATGTTGATTATGTTATAATGATGCATGCTATTCTTGCTATGCTAGTTTGGTAGATCTGTAGGACTACTTGTGAATTGCTTGTTTATCTGATTACGATACTACTTGGTATATGTCGACATATTGTGTGGGCTGGATTGAGGTTGTACCACTTTGTGCTATAACCAACAAACCCTGGAGTATGCCAGATATGAGCTGAGGGCCAGGGAGGAAATGCCATATTCATACTGAGGACTCATGAGCATTCTGGATACGAGATGAGTGTCGAGCCGAGCATGCCAGACTCGTATTGAGGGCTTAGCGATATTCGTTCTGTTGACTGATCAGGCTGGGGAGCAAGCCAGAAATAAGTTGTGGGCCTGTGAGGCAATTCAGACTTATGTTGTGGGCTCAGGGGTAATCCAGTCTGTAAAGTTGTGAACCCATTGCATGTTGTTACTATATGATGTTATTTTCCATATATTGGTATTTTAGGGGAAACTCACTAAGCTTTAAACTTACAGTTGTTGGATTATGTTTTAGGTACTTCTCAGGATCGCGGGAAGGTGAAGGCGTGATTGTGTACCTCCTCATGTTTTTATTTCACGATTTTGGGATATCTCTTATATGAATCTTATTTTGGAAACAGTTTGTAAATAATGCTGGTTTTGAATATTTAGAAAAGTTTAAATTATCCATGAGTTTTATGGGTGTTATAGAAAGTTTGTGACCTTATTATGGATAAAGTTGTAAACTTTAACCATTTAAACATCATTTTTATTCAGATCTCAAAGTTGGAGACTTGTACTTAATGGATTAAGTTGAAAAAGATGAACTTTTGGGTCCCTTTGAGACTTAAAGACTAGATCTTGTTTTTTGGGACCATTCTGATGGATAAAGTTGGAAACTTTATCCATTATAAAGCTATTATAAACTATAAAAATGTGATCTTGTCCCTTCTATCCCTTCCATGTAAGAGTTGTGATGTATTATTGGGTTAAGCACTTAGGGTTTTGAATATTAAGCACTTTATAGCCATGCAAAGTCATAAAGTTGGAACATTTATGACTTAGGCCATCATTTTGGGCTTGGATCTGAGGCCTGGATGTAAGAACTTAATGGAATAAGCTCTTAATGGATTTTTGGGACTGGGCTGAGTACGCTGAGCGTACCTGGTGGTACGCTGCGTATACACGGTCAGTGCCCCACTATTGGTCAACATAAGAGTACGCCAGGCGTACTCTCTTGGTACGCATGATGTACTCCACTCGGAAGAAATATTGACTTTTGGACTTTGATCATTGACTTTGACTTTGACTAGGATTGACCAAGTTTGACTTAAGAGTATTTTGGGTTATCGGGTTAATTATTGATTAAGATTGTATTTATTATTAGTTGGCGCGAGGTTATCCAGTTCGGTGGTCCGAGCAGTTATTTGATTATCAACGGTTGATGTGAGTTTCCTCACTGTGTTTAGTGGGTCGAAGGCACCATGCCGACCCATGATTTGTTATGTTAGAATACTTGTTGTTTGTGTTACACTTGTATGTGTATGTGCATATATGCCTACTGGGCGGGGATCGATGGTTATTCTGTATGCCATTACCTGTTATGTTTATATGAATTGTATGTGGGTGGGGACCGTTATGCAAGTCAGTGTGGGTCCCGTTATACTCATTGGGCGGGACCCATTATGTGAGTTAGGGCATGGCCTGTTATACTCATTGGGCGGATCCCGTTATGCGAGTTAGGGCGGGGCCCGTTATACTCATTGGACGGGGCCCGTTATGTGCTATGTATGTATGGTATGTGGTATTTTGGGGAACTCACTAAGATTTGTGCTTACGATTTTCAGTTTATGTTTCCGGCACTTTTGGTTTCAAAACGAAGAGCCCGGGATGATTGCAGAGCACACACCATTCGTTTTCGCATTTTGTGATTTACTCTGATGATGATGATGTATTGATAAAATTCGATTACCTTGGTTTTGTGACAATGATATGATTTATGGTTTTATCAATTTAAAAATGAAATTTTGTGGGAAGTTTCATGTCTTGTCTCTGTCGTTTCCAAAAGTTACATGTATGATCCTTAACGCAACTCCTTCCTATGTTTAGTTTTTTCACTAAGATCGTTGATTGTTATTTTTAAATTTGCATACTTCATCCTTATTAGACATGAATAATTATATTGTACTTACCTATTATTATTTTAATTTATTTAGTATTAATATCTTGTATATTTGTTTTTTAATTAGTTATTTTATTTATTTTTATTATATTAAAAACACATTTTTTTTTATCCATTTATCAAACAAACTTTCTTCACATAACCATTTAAAACTTATTTTCTCTTCCGTTCCTCGTCATCGTCTCTACCTCTCATATTGTCAGCCTCATCCTTTACCGCCACCACCCACTTATCCCCATTCTGCCATCTCCTGTTGCCATCACCACCAACCACACATGCCTCTTCCCTATTCCATCTTCACCGCCACTTATATCTCCCCTTAATCTACCACAGCCACAACCACAAGCAACAATGAAAGTGAGGCGTGGGTCGATTCCCTTTTTAAATAAAGTTATAAATAATAGATAAATAAATAATAAATTGAAATATAATAAATATGGACAATATAGCCATTTCATGCTTGGTAGGGATGAAACTTGTAAGTTTTAAAAGAACAAGGGACGGTGCAAGTGAAAAACAAAACATAAGGATGAAAACGAGAATATCGAGCCAAACCACATGGACGTGAGAGCTGGATATGACGATATAGGATGTAGATGGTGAATTGGTCGGTTCTCCGATAAATTATTATCAATGAGAGAAATGTGAGAGATAAAGATGACATTTCATAAAGAAGGTCGGGTGTGGGGAAACGAGTGTATTATTAGCAATTTATTAGACTACTCGTTATGAGTGTTATAACACCCAAAACTTGTCACCTCATATGCGAATTCAACACTATTATGTTATAATACGAAGTGGGGGAGATGTTCCCATGTTATAACTAAGAGAGAGAGAGAGAGAGAGAGAGAGAGATGATTTGATTGGTTGGAAATTGTGTTGCCTCCCGTTATTGTTACCATACCTCTTACCATAACATGAGGGTGGACAGTATTCTCCATGTTATAACTAGGTTATAAAACCGTCACCTCAGCTATAATGACGATATGATGATCCATACCCAACACTCTTAAATAATAATAAAATAAATTCAAAAGTAATAAGAAAAGTTTAAAATGTCAACAATGTTTTAATGATCATTTGTCCGCGCGAGAGACTAAATCCTCAACAAAATCATAAAATGTTCCAAACTAAAAAAAAAAAAAAATTGCCATCAAAGACGCAAACTACCATCAACTAAATGTAACATTCGTTTAATTCACTCTAATAATAATAATGATACAACTAATCAAATAATAATAATTAAAATAAATAATAATAATAATAATAATATAAAAAGGCAACAGACAAAAATTGAGGGTGCAACTAACAAAAGTTAGAAAACCAAGTGTGCATGTAGAATCACCTTTGAATAAACATATCATCAAACCCGAAGGTTGAAGCCTATTGTGTGGTGAAACGACTTCAGTGAATTTACTACATGTGGACACAAAACAGACACCACTCGATAATCATATCTTCCCAAAATTTTCATTTAGAATGCTCCTACCTTCTCCACCATACTTTTATTCAAATCCCTTCTTCATTCATCCACAATAATTTCCACTTCTTCGACTCCACCCACTCTTTGCTTCTTTCTACAACAATCCTTCATTTTCAATCAACAAAAACTACTTCAGATTCTAATTAAATTCAGCAGCTTTCTGGTTAATTCGTCATCTTTCCACATGAATGTGAAGTGGGTATTCATCTAAAATCCCAGAAAACGTGTTTTTCAGTGTTCGATTGAACATACACGGTTTTATTTTTCTTCCATTTTCACATATCATGTCTGCTGCCATGATAGGAGTGATTTCCCCTAATTCCGAGGTGTGTAGTGGATTGGGTTTCTTGGAAACAACAAGGGTAGTAGATCCATTAAGATTTTTAACGAAAGAAAAGGGGTTTTTTAGGGGTGAAAGAATCAAGAATGCTGGTAGGAAGCATAAGTGTTATTCTTACTTTGGTGAATTGGGTTTTTTGGGTTCCAGAAAATTCGATATGGTTTCGAGGGTGGTGGCTAACGCTTCTGGGGATTTGGCGATTTCATCGGAGCAATTGGTTTACGATGTCGTTTTGAAGCAAGCAGCTTTGGTTAAAGAACAGATGAGATCCAGAGAAGATATGGAGGTGAAACCAGATATTGTTCTTCCTGGAACACTTGGAGTATTGAATGAAGCTTATGATCGATGTGGTGAAGTTTGCGCTGAATATGCCAAGACTTTTTATTTAGGTTTGACATCTTTTTTTTTTTTTTTTTTATAACTTTTCCATATTTTAATCCAAGAATGTTCTGGGATTATGTTTATAATTGAATATTAATCTTTTGATCATGTGTTCAAATTAAAAAAGACAAAAAAAAAAAAAAACCATCTTTCTTTTGGTATTAGATCGTTTATATTTTGTTTTGTTATTGATAGGAACATTGTTGATGACACCCGAGAGGCGAAAAGCTATATGGGCGATTTATGGTGAGCTTTTCATCCAACTTACTTTATAAATTCCGAGATTTCTCACATAAAACATGTTCTAATTAATTAATTATTTATTTCAAATTGTTGAAACTTGATTGCTAAATACTGTTTGAGCAAGATTCATGTGGGAGAGTTATTTTTATTATACTTCCTACTTGCTATTAAATCATGTGGGAGAGTTATTTTTATTTCAAATTGTTCAACCTGCTTTTCACCTAGTTTTACCAAACATGGTAACCCCTAATTAATTATAGAAACACATTCATTTAAAATGTCATTTTATACATTTCAACCTGCTTTTCACCTAGTTTTATCAAACATGGTATTTTATCGGCTAGCTTTCTATTTATCAACTAGTTAACAGCTAGCTGATATCAAAAATAGTGGTTAGTGTATTTCTAGACTTATCCTCGATAGTCCAATGTGTCTAAAACAATCTTGAACGAAATTTCAACATAAAGAAATGGGATTTTGAGTTTTGACTATAATTAGGAAATGTCAAACACATTCGATTTTGACTTTTTTGTAACGTGGTCAATCAAACAGTATGGTGTAGAAGAACCGATGAACTCGTCGATGGGCCTAACGCATCACACATAACTCCAAAAGCATTAGATCGATGGGAATCAAGATTAGATGATCTTTTCAATGGTCGCCCTTTTGATATGCTTGACGCTGCTTTATCAGACACCGTTTCAAGGTTTCCTGTCGACATTCAGGTTGACTTTTCAAAATCTTCTCGAACACCCATAACGATTAAAGCCACGATCATTAATAAAACCATTCTAATTGCATAACGAGTTGTTGAATTTGTCGAATTCTTGACAGTTTTTCATAATGTTGCCAGCCTTTTAAGGATATGATAGATGGAATGAGGATGGATCTGAAGAAATCAAGATACGAGAATTTCGATGAGCTTTATTTGTATTGTTATTATGTCGCTGGAACTGTTGGATTGATGAGTGTTCCAATTATGGGAATCGATCCTGAATCTTTCGCATCAACTGAGAGTGTTTATAACGCTGCTTTGGCTTTAGGGATTGCTAATCAACTCACTAACATCCTTAGAGATGTGGGAGAAGAGTAAGACATTGTTTGTTTCTTACTTTCTTTTTTTAGTAAATTACTGAAATTGTCCCTATGGTTTGGTCAAAATTACACGTTTAGTCCATAATATTTTTTTTGCATTCGCATCATCCCTATGGTTTGATTTTGTTGCGTTTTTCGTCCCTATGATTTGTTTAAAATTACACGTTTGATCCCTAACTTTATGAATGTAAGGGACGAAAAACGCAATAAAATCAAACCACATAGTGCAAAAAAAATGTTAGGGACCAAACATGTAATTTTGACCAAACCATAGAGACGATTTCAGTAATTTACTCTTCTGTTATTTTACTAAATGGAAAAACGAGGGCAAATTTGTAAAATGTATCGTGTTCGACTTTTAGTGCAAGAAGAGGAAGAGTGTATCTACCACAAGATGAACTAGCAAAAGCAGGATTATCAGATGATGACATATTTGCTATGAAAGTAACCGATAAATGGAGGATTTTCATGAAAAAACAGATTAAAAGAGCAAGAACATTCTTTGATCAGGCGGAAGAAGGTGTTACACAGCTGAGCTCCGCTAGTAGATGGCCTGTAAGCTTTCTTAAACCTTCTTAAAAACATCATTAAGAAAAATCGTCTTTTTGCGTATAATTTTTTTTTTTTTTTTTTATGGTTAGTTGAAACAAAATAATTCTTAAATTTAACTTTTATATTGTTGCAAGGTTTGGGCATCACTACTATTGTATCGACAAATCCTTGATGAGATTGAAGCAAATGATTATAATAACTTTACGAAAAGGGCGTATGTAAGCAAACCGAAGAAGATCATTGCGTTGCCTGTTGCTTATGCAAAATCTCTTGTGCCACCATCGTCAAGAAAGTTGGGGTCAAATTAACATCATGTGATCGGAGGGTAAATTTGTAATTTACTCTTATATATATATATAGTTGTAGAAAATGAGGATGGTCAACATCTGTAAATCACAAAATCTTTGTTGTAATGCATGACATATTTAGATCAGATATAGAATAGCAATATTCATTCGGGCAAATATGGGTTAAGCATGAAGGACCCCAGCCGGCGTTATCTTACTTGGCGTACTTGTCCTTTACTCTCTTCAAAACGCTTATCGAGTGTTATTTTAAAACATATGGGTGTTGGCCTTTAAAGAATATATATATATATATATATATATATATATATATATATATATATATATATATATATATATATATATATATATATATATATATATATATATATATATATATATATATATATATATATATATATATATATATATATATATATATATATATATTTTGCGAAAAGCTTTTAAATCTAATATATTTCTAAACTACCTCTTAATCCACTTTTGTCCTTGAAATGACTTAACCATTTACCTCAAGGAGGGATGACAACACTTTATACGACTAAACTTTTATAACATTCGTTTCAAATTTATACCACATTTCACTCTAAATTTTATATGCATTCAAAGGTTTTGAGAGATGGATTATTCATATTCATCGGAAGACGATATTTTTTTCACGACATTCGTTCAAGTTCTAGCAAACATTGTCCACCATCAAGAGAAAAGTGCGGTTCCATGAACGAAAATGGCAACAAAATATAGAATTCGTGAGGTTGTGCATGAACGTTGGGTTCACGATTACCTTACCGAAGATTGGTTATATGATGCTAAAGACTTCAAATGGTTGTTTGAGTAGAAGAGTGTTCCTATGGATAGCTAACGACTTGCAACGCGAAAATGATTTTTTTTTTCTATTGCCAGGCGAAAGGTGTTATTCAACTGAGTTTCGCTAGTAGATGGCCAGTAAACTTCTTGAACCATCTTAGAAACAACACCATTATGAAAAATCGTCTTTTTTTTTTTTTTTTGGGGGGGGGGTTAACACAAGAAATATCAACATAGTTCCATTTCTCTATGTATTTTAGCATCCTACTTCATTTATTTTTATTATAGTATTCTACCTTTTTCTTACTATTAAGGTGTTGTATTTTGAAAAATATAACTAATTATAGTATTGAAATTTGCTTTGTATTTTGATGATATTGATATATATGGATAGAAGTTTTGAAGTATAATATTGTAATAAGAAGACATGAAAATAGAATGTGATGATACAAGAACCATTGAAGATAGTTGCTATATTTTGTATTAACTATTTTTTCTAGCTACTTGAATTGAAACTAACATCTACTTTTATAATAAACAAATAAAAAAAAACACATTGCTATTTTTTTTCATTTTATTCTTTCTATGGTTACTTGAGCCATAATCTCATGCTATAATAAATAAATCAATGCAAGAACTTTATTATATCTTGCAATTAACTCATTTTTGTGGTTACTTGAAACGATGATCTCGTGTTATAATAAACAAATTAATGAAGTACATTGCTATTTATTGTGCTTTCTTGAAACCATGATCTTTGCTATAATAAACAAAACAATGAGATTTAGTTGCTATTTGTTAAATTTGTCTCTTATATTGTTGAAATATATGGACATCACTAATGTTATATCAACAAAGACTCGATGAAATTTAAGCAAATGATCATAATAACTTCATGAAAAGGGCACTCCTATGCAAACCGAAGAAAATCATTGCTTTGCGTGTTGCTTATGAAAAATCTATTGTGCCACCAGCATCAATAAAGTTAAGTTCAAATTAACATCATCTAATCGGAGGGTAAATTTGTAATTTACTCTATATACAATGTTAGAAAATGAGGATGATCGACATCTTTAATCACAAAATGTTGTTGGATGCATGACATTTTATTAGATAAGTTATAAAATAGCAATATTCATTCAGGCAAAAATGAATAAATTCTTTTGCCTTCAATTTTCATCTAGATAATTGTAAGTTTATAAATGTTACACAACTATGATTTTCATAATGTTGCAAAACACTATTTAGCACACATAAATGTTATAGTTTCTTAGACCATTTGTATATGTGCAATGTCACTAAACTTTCAATTGTTTCACATCAACTTTAGCTATAATATTCACACCAGTACAATAACAATACTCTTTCATTTCATAATATATCGCATTGCCACATCAACAACTATTTAATAATTTAAGAAAATCTTAGTAGTAGTTTATAATTTATATAATACTATATAGGGCTTTTGACATAAAAGTCCTTAAGTTTTCAAAACTTTGTCAATTTTGTCCATATGACATTTTAGGTTCATTTATGCCAAATATTTTCAATTTTTTTTCACAATGGCCAGTTAGCTGGCTAGACTCTCCCACCACGCAACCAAGAGACTGACGTGGGAACTGGTTCCTTATTTAGTCTAAAAAAGAGAGAAAATGCTCTAGAGAAGATTCGTCAAGCCACCTAGTTTCAGATGCATCGCATACACCACCAAACTACATCCATGCTCATTTACTTAGGTGCTGTTTGTTTTTTGGAAAAAACCTTTTCAAACCTCTTACTGCTGCGTGGCGCAGCACACGCGCAACACTTTTCATCTCGCAACTGTTTGTTTTTTAGAAGTCTTCTGAGTCAAAAACCTCTGCGCAGGCTCTGTTTGGCGCAGCACTTGTACTGTCTCTTCTAACTTCTTCCAACTTCTTCTTCTTCTTTTTTTATTGCTGAAATTTTGATTATATATTATTAAAATTTTATTTCACATTTTTTTTCCGTTTTTTTTTTTCGTTTATTCTTATTGAATTTATTTTTCATTTTTTTTATATTCAATAATGATAATTTCTTGATGAAATATCATTATTTTTTACTAAAATATCTTTATTTTTTGTTGAAATATCATTCTTTTTTACTAAAATATCATTAATTTTTACCGAAATGTTATACATTATTAAATTTTACGTATTAAAAAGCTATTTTCGGTTTATAAAATTAGTTTATTTTAATTTTTTAATATCTGCACCAGTATGCAGATGTTAAAAAAACAAACACGCTTCTTATTATAGTCTGCAGCCGTTTGGTCCACCTCTTCTACTGCAGAGGGTTGCAGAGGTGGTGCGCAGACTTCATGAATTTTTGCTTCAGAAAATCAAACAGCACCTTAATGTTGAATAATAGTAGATAATCTCTTACATACAAAAACGTTTTTACACTTATATATAACACTTTTATGCGTATAAAAACATTTTTATACATATAAAAAAACCTTTTTGCATGTTTAAATCACGGTTTTATATGTATCTAAATGTATAAATGTATTTTTATAGGTTTAAATATAAAAAAATATTCCATTTATAAAATTTGTATAAAAACATTATTTATATGTATAAAAATGTTATTTATATGTACATAAACGTTTTTATACCATATATATATATATATATATATATATATATATATATATATATATATATATATATACACACACACACGCACGCACATTATGTATAAAGACGTTTAAAAGATGAATTTTTATATACATTATGTATATAAACGTTTTTAAATATTAATAAATATATTTTTATATATTTAAATACGTAAAAACAGTTTTTTTTAATGCATATAACAACAACAACAACAACAACAACAACAACAACAATAATAATAATAATAATAATAATAATAATAATAATAATATTACTATTTTAAAAATAAACTGTTTTTGAAATTTTACATTATATACATACTTTATGACTTATTAAATAATGGGATATCTCCAGAAAAATCCCGATATTTTGGGCAAATTTTTAATAAAGTCCTAAATTTTATTTTTTGAATAAAAAAGTCCTGATTTTTTCACCTTTTGAATAGAAAAGCCCAAGAAACCGACTAATTTATTCACTTTAGTCCTTTTTGACCTGTTCAGCAGGTCATGGGATCAAATTGTTAATTTTTCGAAAATACAGGGATATTTTTGCAGATTTCGTCAAAATTTTTATATAATGTTTAAACATATTTTTTACATATCTATATCTATTTTAATGTATTTTTGTATTTTTTATATTTTTATTAGTATATATTTACGTATTTTTATGTATTTTAAATGTATAAACATATTTTTTTTTACTTATTTATATGTATTTTTAACCATTTTACATATTTTTTTATGTATTTTTATGTGTTATTTTTTATATATTATGTATTTATATGTATTTTTATACATTTTTACGTATTTATGTATTTTTAAAGCTTTTTATATAGATGTTTATGTATTTTAAGTGTATAAACGTATTTGTTACGTATTTATATTTATTTGTAAGTATTTTACATATCTTTTATGTATTATGTATTTATATATTTTTTTAAAGTTTTTTATATAGATGTTTTTATATATTTATGTATTTTAAATGTATAAACGTATTGTTTTACGTATTTATATGTATTTTTTAAGTACTTTACATATTTTTTTTGTGTATTTTCTTGTGTTTTTTTTTATGTATTATGTATGTATATATATATTTTTGTGTATTTATGTATTTTTTTAGTTTTCTTATATAGATGTTTGTGTATTTTTATATACATTAAATGTTAAAGTGTATTAATTTTATGTAAAAATATAAAAACGCATAAAAATAATACAATTAAACATTTAATATACATAAAAATACATAAACATCTATATAAGAAAACTAAAAGAATACATAAATATGCAAAAATACATATAAATACACAATACAAAAAAAACACAAAAAATATGTAAAATAGTTAAAAAAAAAAATACATATAAATACTTAAAACAATACGTCTATACATTAAAAATACATAAATATACAAAAACATCTATATAAAACACTTAAAGGAATACATAAATACGTAATACATAAAAAATATGTAAAATATTTAAAAATAGATGTAAATACGTAAAAAATACGTTGATACATTTAAAATACATAAAAATCTATATAAAAAGCTTAAAAATAAATAAATACATAAAAATACATAATAAATAAAAAATTACACATAAAAATACATAAAAAAAATGTAAAATTGTCTAATATACATATAAATAAGTAAAAAATATGCTTATATATTTAAAAAACATAAAAATACGTAAATGTATACAAATAAAAACATAAAAAATATACAAATACGTAAAAATTGATATAGATATTTAAAAAAATATGTTTATGCATCATATAAAAATTTTGACGAAATCTGCAAAAAAAGTCCCGTTATTTTCGAAAAATTAACAATATGGTCCCATAACCTGCTGAACAGGTTAAAAAGGGCTAAAGTGAATAAATTAGCCGGTTTCTTGGGCTTTTCTATTCAAAAAATGAAAAAATCAGGACTTTTTTATTCAAAAAATAAAATTTAGGACTTTATTAAAAATTTGTCCAAAATATCAGAACTTTTCTGGAGATATCCCTTAAATAATCTAAGTAGCTCAGTAGAATGCGCGTGTTTCGTTTTCCTTGGTGGCCAAGGTTCGATTCTTGATTCCTACATTTCCTTTTCTATAAAGCAATGTTTTCAGTTAAATAAAGAGGTTTGCCACGTCATATCCTAGTCTGCAAGAAGAGCTAGTCAGTGTGATATAAGCTCTGAGGCGACCGGATGTGACCGAGTAAACCCGCTAAATGGCAAAAATAACAAAATTTGTATAAATGTTAGGCTAAATGAACAAAAAATCCTTATTTGGACAAAATTGAAAAAAAATATATGAAATTTAAGGACTTTTATGTCAAAAAGCCTAAAATATATGATATAATAAAGGATATATATATATATATATATATATATATATATATATATATATATATATATATATATATATATATATATATATATAGGGTTAAGTTATTTTGTTTCTAGTAACTATTGTGTGCCATAATGCATAGATCTGGACCATCGGATGGAATATAATCAAAGGTAATGATCTGATGGTCTATGATTGTAGAATAGGATAACATATACCATATAATCACACAAATTTCAGTATAAGGGCATTTTAGTTAATTAGCCTATATTAAAAAAGAAAATTTTCGGATTTTTAGGGATAATTAATTCCTTTTACTTTTAAAAATCTGAATATTTTAATTAATTCAAAATTAGAAATTCGATTTTATTCTATCAGAATGGTAGAATGTTAACCATAAACTAGTAAATATATCCGTCGATTATATTCTGTCAGAATGATAGAATGTCAACCATAAACTAGTAAATACATTCTAAAAAGAATACACAAAATTAATTCTTGAACTAATAATATCCAAATAATTACATTGTATGATTATGATTAATTGAATAATAACAATATTCTGAAAGAAAAAAAGAAAAAAAAAACATCACAATCTAACAAAAACACTAATTTATTCTAATAGAATATTATTTTTTAGCAACACTTTATACATTGTAGCATAACAAATTCTGGTATAATACACCCTCGTTCTCTATGTTTTCTTCCTTCTCCACATCAATGTTAGCCTCTTCAAAACCTAAATCCACAAAGGAAACATAATCAAGTTTCAAAAATTAAAAAATTCAATGCAATCTAAGAGAATAAAAACTATAAATTATAACAGAATACACATGTTGTTGACAATTATTCTCAAACATTCTAACAGATACATCTATATAAACTATAATTTCTTGTTGTTGACAATTATTCTCAAACATTCTAAGAGAATACATCTATATAACTATAATTTCTACAAATAGAATATAACTATAACTATATTGTTCCAGTTATCATATAAACATCTTAAAAATAACATCTAGGTTCAATAGAAAATTGAAGAACAAACACATACACAATTGGCCTTTGTAATCAGTTTTCATTTCACATTCAAAGGTAAACTACACATTCAAAGGTATTTCATTCAAAATCAGTTCTCATTTCAAATTCAACTTCAAATAAAAAAATCGACAACAAGGAAAATTCATATCATGAACCAGAAAACAGATACCAAAAAATCAACAGCTCCTTTGTCAAAAAAAGAGAAACATGAAATACAAATCTTAACATATTATATTTTAATCTCTACATTTTATATATGGAATCAATTCAGTATACAATTTTTTGAGTTCCAATTCAATTCAGTATAAATATCGATTGAAAATTCAGAGAACCAAAAAATTAATCCAACAGATACAGAAAACACGGAACAAATGAAGATCGACAGAAGCACAAATCGACAGCAAGGAAAAAAACACGAATAAAAGCGTCTAGAACAAACACGAACCTGTGCAGTCGAAGGAAAAATCGACAACTCCGGTGTTGCGGTGGGCTGCGACGATCTCCGGCCGGTGGCGAGGAGATGGTTAACGGCGGTGAGCAGGGGAGGATCGCTTGAGGAGTCAACGACAGGAGCAGACGATCGTCATTGGAGGAGGCGTATGTGATATGCTGTATAAGGCTATTAGGTCAAATATATTTACTTTATTTCCATAATTGTAGGATTCCAATTAAATGATTTTCTTAATTAAAAGTACAAAAGGTCCAAAATACCCTTTATTGATTTATTTAGTTATTTATTATTTCTTGAATTCTCATTGGTGCATTTAAGTATATAATATTTGTTGAAAACATTTGAACCTAACACACTCTCTCTCTCTCTCTCTCTATATATATATATATATATATTATATATATATATATATATATATATATATATATATATGCTGGCATACCAAGTGGATCTTCTTTAGAACTTGAAGGAAAATTTGCAGCCATGGTCAACACTTCAGATCTGACTTCTGAACTATTTTTCTTTTCCAAAACCAAATTTTTATTTGTTCATCATTTTTATTAACAATTTTTGGTGAAAGTCCTTTAAAATTCACCTCATTGTCCAAATAGCCCTCATAAACCTGTCCCATTGATTCCATTTCCTCATTGTTAATAATTGTCGTGTTATCTTTTTCACCTTCTTCATAATCAGAAACAATGTTATTGTTTCCCATATCAAAAATAGGTTGCTTTAATGGTGAATCATTAGTAGCTTCATTTGTTTCAATTGTTGCAAGGCTTTGAATTGTTGCAAAAGCAACATCTACATGCCCTTTCAATTTCATTTGCAAGATGAGTTTGCAAAACGTTGTGAATGGTCTTCAAACGAAAGATAAATATAATATTTCAAAATTAAAATGAATGGTATTTTAATATTTAATAATGATATATAAAATTCTTTTTAAAATTGACAAGAATTCATTGGAACTAAATCCGGGCCTAACACTCAAATAACCCGAATTACTTCATCAAAAATTCAAAATACTAATAAAAACAAATCATCTACCATCTGAAATCGTAATAATAAGATAATTACACTCAAATTTTATTTTAGAAATTTGATTATTATCAAATATTCGTAAATAGGAAAAAAAAAAAAAAAAAAAAAAAAATCGAGTGTAGGGTAATACAGTGGTGAACGTGGCGAATCCGTAGCAACGAATAAATACGACGGAGAGAGCTCAACCAGGACGGCGTTTGGTGGCGAGGTAATCTTCCATCGCCTGGATTTGTTCTTTCGATGGTGGCGTTTCATTGCTCTTGATCGATCTGTGGATATCATAACTTGTTGATCCAAACACCAGCATCCTATATGCATAACATAACTACTGTTATTAATCGATGAATCCAATCGATTCATTGAAATTTACAGATGCAATATCAGAGAAATCAAACGAAGAGAGTGTTTATATGTAGTTATGTACCCAGCGACCAAAAGTATAATCTGTCTAGGATGTATCTGCTTCCCAAAAATCTTCATTTATGCTCTTCCTTTTCCTTTTTGTTTTTCACTAATTCTCTGTATTAGAAATCTTAGCTGAAAGATCCAATCAATATGAAGCCGAATTCAGGAAGACATCCAGTATCCAATATCTTCATTAAACCCGATCCGTATCTTATTCGGGTTCACGGGTCATAGAGTATTGGGTTAGAAAACCTGACCCGGACACGACATGTTTAATTAAATGCATGATATGGTTCAACACTAACATGTATCTGTCAAACAAGAACAAGATCCACTAACACATTTCATTATACAGGTTCACATGTCATAATCGTGTTCACATATTATATTTGAGTTCACATGTTATAAACAAGTTTGTTGATCATAATTGGATTCGCGGGTCACCGTTGTGTAAGAACATGCATTCATCATCTTCATTTATTTTTAACATATTTCATATTATTTATAAAGTTATTTGTCTTTATTTTTAATCAATAAAGATTATATTCATAAGAAAACTTGTTGGTAGAAAATACTAATATTGAATAGTAGTCCAATACAATTACTATTAAAATTGAAATAATACTTTTAGTCTCTTACCAAAATAAATAAGTTGGTGGGTTAATCCGTGAAGTTACCTACCTACCTGAACATGAAATATACAACCGTTGCATCATCATATAAATCGACACTTCATTCTCACTCCAATTCATGCATTCGATAACCATACAACTCCGCGTCACCAATTCATAACTCTTATATCACTATCATTGGAGATGCTTTTAGGAGAATAATGAAATTTCAATCTTATTACACTTGGATCAATTACAACCACAAAACATTAAAACACAATAAAATGGTGATTTTTTACATCAAAATATAGTTTTCATTCAAACCACACACTAAAAGTTTACACTAAAAATGTATTTTAATAATATTATAACAAAATAACATTTCTCTTTATTATTATATATTTTTATTCAACTTATTTGAAGACAATTATTGAATAAATTAATAAAAATAAATAGAAAATAATTTGGTGTCGGATGAGATGCATCCAACATCAAATCAGTTTCTATTAATAAAAATAAATAGAAAGTGATTTAGTGTTGGATGAGATGCATCGCTAAATATGGCGGCCAAAATTTATCCTACAAAAATAGTGGTCATTACGTTGGTCGATTGGAACAAATTTTGATGTTATTCTGTTATTTTATTGGTCGGTTGGAGTTGATATTATTACAGTGTAAAAATCATTTTTTACTTCGATTATTAGATTTTTTTGCTCTCTCTCTCTCATATGTCATTGTACTCTATCAAGCTTTTTTCTCTTATTAGCATAAAACCCATGCATCTTGATTCTTTAGAAAAAAAAAAAACATATACTTAAACTTCATATGTTTGCTTAATTTGGTTAGTGATTATAATGTTTCAAACTATCTCTCCCTCTCCATCTGTATCTCCACTCTCTCGAATAACATGTATGAAACACCAAAATGGCATATGCATGTACTAAAATAAGGAAAACAAAAACAAAAACATTTTCTTACACTTAAAAAATGTATATAGAAATACATACTTAAACTACAAACATATACCCATACATCCTCAAACTTTTCAAGGAGTAACATCAAGAACCACCACCACCTTCAACAAGACATATAGGTTATGCACATCTTTACCCATTAAGTCACTTATGTAGAGTTGTGTTAAGTACCTTTTGGTGCAGTAAAAAGACACCAACTTGTTGGCTCATTCCTCCTTTTTGTTCAATCAATGCACTTATCTTTTCCTACTCACTCAAAACTTCTCTCATTCGTTGTTTATCCCTCTGCAAATCTTGCTTTATTTCAAGAACAAGTTGGCACTTCTCAAACAACGATGAAGACACCATTTTCTTGCATGATGAGTTTTTTTATCTGATACTTCTATGGAGGTTTGTGTTTGTGAATACGCTTACTAATCTTGGTTGTTTATAAAGAAATGGAAGATCAATGTCTCATTATTGCTTAAGATATGACCGATGATCTTCGGAGTTGCATATTAAAAGTATATATAAAAGTATAATTGAAGTTATCGTATATAACGTGGGAAATCCAACATATTCTAAATATTCTAAATACACTCATATACACTATCGATTAAAAATATATCATAAAACATCACAAAAAAAATCCGTATATATATCATATGGCAAACACTAATAACATGTATCATTGATGATCAATTGTAGTTATATGATTTTCTTCAAGTTCAACAGTGGATTCTTTTACAGCTGTACACGTGTCCGAAGGTATATTAATACCTGCAAACCCTAACATGACAGCAGCAGCCCCAATATAATCCATGAAACCGGGTGCATTTCCTATCACAGTATCCACAATAGCTGCTAATGGCACTTGAATAGTCAACCCTGCTGTTGCTACTGTTGTTGTAGTCAGTAAAACAGCTTTTGCCCATAAATAATCACTCAACACATTGTCCAATAAACCTAAAAAAAAAAAAAAAAAATAGCAACTTAGATTAGGGCCCACAAGTTCTGTTTAGTGTATGGTGATTTAGGACTCTAAAAGAACAAAACATGTTATACTGTGTTTGTTTTGTACCAGACAGTTGTAATTTTTTGTCCGACTCAAAGGATTAAACAGAGTGTACTGCGTTTGGTGTGTACTGGATTAGGATAGATATAAATGGTTTCCTGAAGTAGATTGTAATGTATTTGATGTGCAATGGATTGAAATTGATGTCAATGCAATAAAATTTTCAAATTATTGTACTGTTTTTGGTGTGTATTGGATTGAAACTGATGGCTGTGTGACAAACTTTTCAATTTTTTGTTGCATCCAGAAACAGACAAAACAGGTTGTACTGCATTTGGTGTGTATTGAATTGGAAGTTGGGACTGAGACTGAGACTGATGTCAGTAGGACAAAAATTGCAGTATTTTGTCTAACCAAAAAAGGTGGGACATGGACTCGCTCTCGATAACTCATTTGTGAAAAGACGTGAATGCCCTTTTTGCTCTCATCTTTGAGACTAGCCTTCCAAAGCTTGTCTAGTCTCATATAATAAACATAACCTAAGGTGAATTTTGGGAAAATGAATAAAAAAACACACACACACAACACTACAATGGCAAAATATTACCTTTTCCAACAATTAGACCAAATTGCTTGGAGCTAATTGTATCAAAAGGCTCAAGACTAGCCAAATGAAGTATAAGGGCAACAGGGGAAAAGATCAAGAGATTAAACAGCCCTAAAAACCCTAGAAATTGTGCCCATGCTGACTTTCCCACTCCCAGTTTTTGCATCATCATCTTCATCGGGTAAGTTTTTCCGGATAAGGGTAATGTAAACAGCATAAAAAGCCGATGAAACAAGGGCAAAAATGTCTCCAAGAGTAGGGTTTGAAGCTACTGTAGTTGCTCCACTTTCTGAATCTCCCAAACTTACAATTATAGTCCCTCCCATACAAAGAAGAACACTCAAAAGTTTTATCCATGTGAACTTTTCTCCCAAGAATACAAGAGAAACCAAAAAGGTGAAGAGACTCGATGCACTGCTTAAGATTGTATTCGACTGTATAAATGGAAAGTTTTGTTAGATTATTGTACATGATAAAAAATAAAATAAAAAATAAAAGTTATAATCATATGATATAAACTTACAGTGACAGTTGTATACTTCAAAGATAGATTAAACGAAAGCTGTGCAAGAAACCAAAAAGGGCAAATTAAAAGGCTGACTTTTGCAATTCTTATTCGAGTCCATCGCCCTTTTGAGTCCAATAATTCTTCTCCGATTGGAAACACAACATTAGTTTCCATGCTGACATCATCATCATTATCATCATTAAGAGCTTCCCCTGTAACATCTTTTTCTACAAGAAGGTTGATGGCTTCTGATTCTTTTATTCCTTGTGAGGTGTTATTATTATTATTATTGTTATTATCATCTTTACTTCTCCAGAAAAGGAAATTTGCATTTGTATACTTATCTTCCAAATAACGCCCGATTTCTACTAATGGGATGTATATTACAAACAGTGAATTGCATATGTATGTGACAAAAAATGGAGATACACCACCATCAACAACTGATTGAACTACAAAACTAGCAGCTATCCAAATGGTTGCAACAGCAAGAATGTATATCAACCCTAAAACCCATCTCCATGTTTTACTTTTCATTCCTTCAATGTTCAAACGCTATCTATGCACAAACGCACCTATCTGCAAGAATTAGAGAATAATTCCTTTAACAATATGTTTCATTTCGAAACAGTTTCTCTACATTCTTAATAGTTTATAAAGATTTAAGCTTTTGGTAGTGGAGACTGAAATGCATTTACGGATCCCTTGTCGATGAGACAAAACCCTAATCTTCAGATTTTGATTACGATAATTACTTCAGTGTGAGTTTACTTAAAGAATTCAGCCTACATTTGAGCTATATTGACTTTTCCACCATACATTTTGGAGAAGTATTTTATATTTTACATAAACAAACGTAAAGGACACGGAGATGAAAAGAAATTGAAGAGGAAAGCAGATTTGACCTTGATGTTTGAACAATCTTCGGTTTAACAAGAGGCTTTTGATTGAGGATCTGTTTGGAGTTTAGGTCCAGAAGTGACGAGTTTCTCTAGCTTGATCACTTTGAGGAGGCTCTGTTCGTCGTCCACTGAACCCTAGAATTTCAAAACTTTTTAGGAGACGATTACTGTTATTATAAACTGCAAGTTTATCATAAAAGATTCTTAGAAGTTGTTAATTTTTAAGAAGAATGGTAGTCGCATTGAGCATCGAAGATTACCTTAAGACGAATGACTCCAGAATCCGAGGGGATAATTGGGGAGGGGTTTTTTGCGTATCAGCATCCGACAACACGGAGGGCTGCTCAACCTGAGGCTCAAGCAAACCCAAAAAAATAAGTGGATTTGTTATTTCTATCCTAATAAAAGAATTCTACAAGAAGACATCCTTTTATTCTACTTTACATAAAAGTTAAATTACACATTTACCTTTTACCCTTCAAAATTTTCAATCGGTAACACTTTAAAACTTTACATGTTTTGAAGCCTAGAAATCAACCATCTACTCTTACTAAAACCCTAATCCGTTTCCCACCATCATCGGTTTCCATTTCTCTCTTTCTCCCAACTTTAATACATTCACCACTATGATTTCTGCCATCGCCTTTCTTTCACCATCATCTAAAACAATGGTCCTTTGTTCTTTCTAAGAACCTTAGAAGCCACTCGGTCATTTGCTTCTCTTCTCATTGTTTGATACTTCTGATTGGCTTCACTCAACATCGTTGCTTTTCTCTTGTCATTTTTGCTTCACATAGATTTGGTACTTTTGATATCCTGAAGCCACTCGGTCATTTATTCTTTGTTCTTTCTAAAACAATGGTCCTTTGTTCTTTCTAAGAACCTTAGAAGCCACTCGGTCATCTGCTTCTCTTCTCATTGTTTGATACTTCTGATTGGCTTCACTCAACATCGTTGCTTTTCTCTTGTCATTTTTGCTTCACATAGATTTGGTACTTTTGATATCCTGAAGCCACTCGATCATTTGTTCTTTGTTCTTTCTAAAACAATGGTCCTTTGTTCTTTCTAAGAACCTTAGAAGCCACTCGGTCATTTGCTTCTCTTCTCATTGTTTGATACTTCTGATTGGCTTCACTCAACATCGTTGCTTTTCTCTTGTCATTTTTGCTTCACATAGATTTGGTACTTTTGATATCCTGATGCTTTTCTTGAAAAAAAAAATTGAACGTTTTTTTTTTTTTTTTTTTTATATTTTTTTAAATTTTAAATAAACGGTTTCAGATTAATGAAAAACGATTTCAAAGCATCCTTATCTTCACAATAGCCTTACATAATGTATTTTTTACACGATTTCAATGAAAGTTTTTGATTAGTTTAAGTATTTTGATTAGTTGTAAGTGTTTCTTAACGCAATTATTTTTGAAATTTTGATCATTATCAAGTAAAAACTATGGAACAAGCATTGAAGCAAAGCACAATAGCAATTTTTCACTTCTTAGAGACCGAATCAGGTGATATATTTATTACATTTGCTTCCAATATGCTTATTATACACACGATCATGAAGTTTTTATCTTTCATTGTTGTGTAGCAAGCTAAGAATGTAAGAAAACATGTTGATATAAAAGTGGAAGAATATTGGGGTGAAAAAGGTGTTGATTTTTAGAATGCTAATAATTGGAAGAAGCATCAAGATGAAAACATTGCGGTTTAAAAAAATCTACTTTTAATTGAGAAAATTAAAGCCCACATCTCTTTTTCTTCATCGGTGCTCTTAAAATCCAACTCGATTTTCCATTCAAATTACATGTCCGGTTATGTGCATTTTGCACACAAGTTTCGATTATGATTATAATGAGGAGTTTGACTATCTTACATCAGTTGCATGGGTGTTCTTGTAAACCAGAACCTTTTCTTTGTTTTCGTTATTATCTATAGTTTTCTAGAGTTTTATAGACAACTTAAAATGAAAATTGGCGCAGTTTTTGGATTTTGGTTGCACTTTGAATAAAATAAATGGTGTGATTTAGTGTTAAATGCAAGAAATAGCAACATAGTTATTATTAAATGCAAGATATCAAATTCTTATTATTTTTGTCATTGATATTTTTTATATGTATTTTTATAGTTTATATTTATGAGATGAAACCTATTTTAAAGAGACAATATATATACCAAAGATTGATTGAATGTCTATACCAAATGATTATTCAACTTAATCATAATAACAAAATAGATGAACTAAATCCTTAAATATGATACTTTTGGAAGAACAAAGATGATATATATTTTAGTTATTTTGAAAAATACATCTTTATTATTTAGAATATCTACAAATACCAAGTCAGTAACTATATATTATTTTTGTTATTATAAGTTGTCAACATGAGTATGAGTATTACATGGGTTTCAACTTGCATATGAGTATTACATGGGTTTCAACTTGCATATTAATATCAATGATAAGATTTTACTTTCATTTATATCACTCTTATAACATTTAACTTTTTAGGTTTCTTTTCTTAATTTTAACTAATCACTATTAATTTATAAGACAAAACTTTTATCTTTGTAAATCAATAAGTTTTTATTAATCTTTGATTAGTCATTATGATTTTAAATTATTAAATGTATTGTTCTTTCTTACTCATGGTTTCCACAGGTTGTAACCTAATTTTCGTTATATACTTTCATTTTTTATTCGAGAATAATAAACTTTCATTTTAGCCTTTTCAATACAAGTTCTTTAATAAAATTTTGGTAATCAATTTCTACTAAATGTTTTCCAATTGACAAAAGAGTTAGTCTATTTAGTTTTCCTTGTAATATTGTAGATCTTAAATAAATTTTTAACAATTTTAATTTAAAAAACTTATTTTTACAGAGACAACAGATACATGAATAGTTAACATAATCCTATAAATAACATATATATTTAGAAAATAACTAAACTTTTTAATGTAATTAAATATATTAATAACTGTATCACATTTTAAATGTATAACATGTCTTAAAAATTTTAGTTCATGAAATAAATCTAAACCGTTAATATCTAACTTATTATCATGCTTTAAAGATTTTTCAAGATTTAACATTGTTCTTTTAGAGTTTTCATCAAATGAGTTGATGGTCTTTTGATGAAGTTTGAGACTTAGGGTTTTGGTTTGGACCCCATTAAGCCAAGCAAAGTCATAAATTTAGGAAATTTATGACTTCAAATATCCCTTAGAGGTTAGATATGTGTTTTAGACGTTTTGGTCTTAACCATTAAGTCCTCAAAGTGGGAATTGGTCACCTAGGGAGTATGTTGGGCGTATGTTTGATTACGCTCGGTGTAATACATGGATTTCCATGATTCCTTGCTGTAAAGAGTTGTATGTTTGGCTTCAGCAAGTTGTACATGTGGCTTACTCGTGAGATACACTTATCGGGCCCTTTGGTCTTTGGGTCTTTTGGGAATTAGGCCTTGAGTTATTAAGTCAGATACAAGAAGGGTAAAATGGTCTTTTGGCTAATTGTATGATAAAATATAAATTGGACCTTGGATTATGGGAAATTACCTTAATTATTGACTAGGAATAATTTTGTTGTGTTGAGTGTGAGGAACCTGGTAGCAGTAGCATGTGTGTTTCGGTTATCTCGGAGTGTGGCGAGTCTCCTTATTGTACCCATGGGTCAAAGGCACCAATGTCGGTCCACTAGAATCTGTATATGCTAGTTGCCTTTGTGACTCGTGCATGGTATGTTGGGCTAGACCTATTGTATGATGGTTTAGGTCCATTGTATGAGGGGTTAGGCCTATTTGTATGATGGGTTGGGCCCACAGAATAGGAAGGGCTAGTCTCAATGTATGTTATATTGGATGCTAGCTGTCTTTGTAACTCTTGCATTGTATGTTGGACTAGGCCTATTGGTTAGGAAGGGCTAAGCGCATTATTGTGGGTTGGGCCCAATGTGAGGGCTAGGCTCAATCATATGTATGGTATATGGTATTTTAGGGAACTTATTAAGCATGGTGCTTATAGCTTTATGGCTTTGGTTTTAGGTACTTTGAGTTGGAAAAGGAAGGGCCTGACTTGATAGTAGCGCATCCACCCATGTTTCCACACTTTATGATTTTGGGAATTGTAGTATGATAATCATTTTTATGTTGATGTACTTCTGAATGGTTGATAAGAATAAATTATGTTTTTGTGCTGACCTAAAAATGAAAATTTTACCTTATAATTTTTAGGACGTTACATACAGTTGTTACAAGCATTACAATATCTTATTATCCTAATGGCCTATAACTCCTTAAATCTCTCATCATATCTAAACATCATTATCCATGTACCTAAGTACTGCTTTATGTGATACAAAAAAATAAGTGGGTCGGGCTTGGGGGCTGTAGAGTACATAGGATTTTCAACCCACAATAATACAATTAATCTGTTTAGTTATTTATTTCACATAAAAAATTAAGCCGATTACCCATCCCTGTCTTCCTATATATTCATTTATAAGGATCTATCCTAAGAATCATCGTGTAACCTCGATTAGACAATACTGCTTCGAGGATTCCTCCCCAATACCTGCAAGTAAGGAATAGAGTACATCATATAAACATGTAGTTTATCATCTACATGTTTTGAA